CAAACAAGGAATACGAAAGTTCCAACTAGAATGGCTAGGGGATGCAGCTGGCGAGAAATTGGGGGATATAATATGGCCAGGGGAGGAAGAGGAGAAAGGGAGGATCAAACGGGATTACCAGATTAACTTTCAGAATTGGTTAGATATTCAACCAGGGGCCTTTTTGAGAGCTCCCGAATTGTTTGCCGATCCCTTCCCACCTGCCCCATTAGCACTGGTGGACCTTGAGTGGTTTGGAGGAGGGGGGGACATAGCATAGGAGCAGGCTGGAGAGGGTCCTATTAGGAGGAGGCTAGGTTTTATTCTTCCCAACAGGCGGTCAGATATCGGACTGAAGAGGCTTCATCTTGACTAGTAGGACTCTTCCTTCAAACATTGGTAGAATAGAATAGGCCCTATTATTGGATTGAAAAGTCAGTAAGAAGGGGACGCTGGACCCGGTTTCCAGCCAAGGGTTTTCATCTGTTGTTTTTTCATGATGTAAGGGACGCTGGTCCCGGTTTCCAGCAGGTGCAGCTCCCCACCAATAGATGGAGCTTATTTTTCTATTAAAAAAAAAAAAAAAAAAAAAAAAAAAAAGATCATTGGAGTGCTGCTCATCGATACTAAACTACTATCGAACCATGCTCAGTTCCCTAACTCGGCACGAATAAACGGCTAAACCTTAGAAACTAAAAGTAGCCTATAGGCTCAATGACTAGGAGCTGGGAAGGAAGAATAAGCATTAGGGTTACCCTCTCATCATCACTGTCCAAAACACTGTAAAGAGCCTTTGTTGCCTAGATGGGTTTCCCACCACGCACCCAATGGATACAACTCTAGTTTGCTCTTCACCGGGTCTCTCATATCTTCCAGATCCTGCGAGTCTCACCCTGAACCACTGCAAACATACCAACATCAAAAAAAATATAAACCAAATTCCTACCCACCCACAATACTATAACCCATTACTATGTCCAAACTGTTTACAGTACGTGTTTCTAAATACGAAACACTAAAAGTGATGCAAGTAACAGAACCGAAAGCAACAATACAAATTCCACTTCCCACGAAATTCAGAAAACAACAACATACCGAGGGATAGCGGTGCCCTAAGATACGGCTGAAAGACAGCAGCACATAAATTATATTAGCCTAGAAAACAACTAGAAAAAGAGGTCAATGTTTACTACCGAAATCCATAGTGAATATAGCCACAAATATAGATAACCCCACCCTTCTCGAACTCCAAACAGATAGCAACATGTCCGTCAACAGTGTCAAGGCTGCCCTCTCATCATCACTGTCCAAAACACTGTAAGGAGCCTGAGTTGCCTAGACGGGTTCCCACCACGCACCCATCGGATACAACTCAAGTTTGCTGTTTACCGGGTCTCTCTTACCACCAAACCAGTAGAGTTCCCACTGCCTCTTGTTGCACTCTCACTGCTCCTCGAGACACTTTTTTTTTTTTTTTTTTTTTAATTTTAAACGGGCCTAATGCCCAAGGCTGATATTACCAATAAGAAGATTAAGGCCGGGGTCGTCACAGTCTACCCCGAGTGACCGAACAGAACATGCTGAGAACCGGGCTCAGCGTCCCTCATATGACGATGATGATAATGATGATGAATTTCTGTGTAAACTGTGAGATAATCATACTAATGATGATGATGCTAAGGATGATGATGATTAGTATAGAAAAAATATAAAAGACTATGCTATATCAGCAATTCTGGTCTCCTAATCCTGGAACAACTCCTAGCCCTCCCTGTACTTTTACTGGTAGTCCCGTGAGTTTAACCCTAAACCACTGCAGACATTTCAACCTCAAAACCAATATAAACCAAAATCCTACCCACCCACAATTCTATAGCCCATTACTATGTCCGAACTATTTACCCTACATATTTCTAAATACAAAACACTAACGGTGATGCATGTAGCAGAACCGAAAGGAACAATACGAGTTTCATTTCTCACGGAATTCAGGAAACAACAACATACCACAGAAAGATGGTACCCTAAAATACGACTAAAAGACAGCTGCGCTGAGCAAGCTCTCCCACTGCTCCCACCGATGCTGCTGCCAACCTTAATCTAGTTGATGACAAAAGTTGATGTATCCACCTTGGAGAGTCGTCTGAGCAGAGGTGAAAGATGGAATCATCAGTATAGCCAAATGTATAGTGTATCAGGTTGTATCTTGGCAGTGTCGGCAGCACTCCCACTGCCGTCGCAAGCCCTCCCACTGCTTCCGCTGACGCTGCTGCCATCCTGGCGTGAAGAGGTGAGTGGAGGTGAACCACACTCCTCTTGGGTGGTGAGAAAGGAGCCCCCCTTTTCGAGCTTGAGGCTTGAGGGGAGGATGGCTCCTCTGGTGTCGGGATCTCATCAGGTATGAGGGTATGGTATGGTATGAAGGTCCGGTACAGGGCTGCCAGGATGCCCTGGTGTACGAGCGCAAAGGCACTCCCTATCCCACTCAAGGGATAGGCTACACCAAGACACTGTCCGCCATGGCTCTCACACAGCTGTGGTGCCTGGCAGGGTAGGCGCATCGCGGGAGGATCAACGCTGACATGCTCAGACGCTGCGCTCTCTTCATTTTGTTTTCCCCAAAGGGATTTTTTAATTTTTCTTTGAGACAACTGTGCCTGTGACTGCTGCACAGTTTGGAATTCGCAGGAATAACAGTCCACTGCAAGCTTGGCGAAGACCAGTTCGAAACTGCAAGAAAAACAGTAAGGTGGGAGCACGACGGCCTACCGGTTCAGTAATTGGCAAAAAAGGGCGGTGGCGGTTGTGTTGTTGGGTTTTTTTTTTTTTTTTTTTTTTTTTTTTTTTTTTTCTGTGCCTTTGAATTTTTTTTTTGCGCCTTCGACTTTTTTTTTCGCACCTTCGACTTTTTTTTTTTCGCGTCTGCCACGGCCACACCCGTAGCAGGCCCTCCCAGTCTTGGCTCGTTTCCCCAGGGTTGTGGCCTAGGCATCTCGGGCATGACCTAGGCATCTCGGGCGTGGCCTAGGCATCTCGGGTGGCCCAGCCACGGGTGTGGCCTAGACATCTTGGCCGTGGCCCAGCCATGGGCGTGGCCAAGACATCTCGGCCATGGCCCAGCCACGGGTGTGGCCTAGACAGCGCGGCCGTGGCATAAGCGGGCGCAGTAAAAAAAAAAGAAAAAAAAAGTTGCAGACAAGGAAGGAAAAAAAAAAAAAAAAAAACACGACCGCCACCTCCCGTTTTTGCCAATTACTGAACCGGTAGGCCGTCGTGTTCCCACCTTACTGTTTTTCTTGAAGTTTCGAACTGGTCTTCGCCCAAGCTTGCAGTGGACTGTTATTCCTGCGAATTTGAAACTGTGCAGCAGTCACCCGCGCAGTTATTTCTTTTTCTTTTAGTTTTTAAATGATGGCTTATATAGTGGACCAGTTCCTTGTTAGGTCGGTTTCTGGACCCACGACAGGTACCTATCTACAGTCAACAACTAATTTATGGGACCCAGACCATCCTACCTTGGAGGATCCCCCCTCAGATAGCCCCCCCCCCCTACTGCAGGTTCCCCAATGATTTCCTCCACCAGAGTCTGTCTACTAACACCCCTCCTACTGGGATCCCTTAAGACAATCCCCTACTGTAGGTTCCCCACCGATATGCTTGATTCCCTCTTCGAAATTTGGATATATATGGAATTGTGAATATCCTGGTTATTACTAATAATACAGGAAACCCACCTAGTGGACACCACAGAGCACAACCACACCCACAAAGAGATATGTCCCTATCAATCTTATTGAGCACATGCATGAAGGCCCGGGAGTGCGAGGGTGGTCATCTGGCCCCCCCTGGTTCAAGATAGAACCACTCAATTAGGCAGCAGACCCCGACGAAGGTCGATGGGTCCATCACTTGTCATGCTCGAATTGCAGGCGGTCAACATTCTGTGTGTATATGGTCCAAATGAGATAACGGAGCGACAATGCTTCTTTGAGAATATCAAAATAAAACTCCCGGTGGGTATCTCGATAATTACGGCCGGGGACTTCAATGCAGCCCCAGACTACCGGTTGAACCGCTGACAAATCCCTTCCGCATGTCCCTCATGTGTGGAAACCAACAAACATATTATTGCATACCTCTGCCAATGGCGCAATTTGTACCACACCTTCAGAAGGTCATTCCCAACCCAGCGCATGTTCACATGTTGCCGCAAAAGCCAAACAGACGGGGCCTTTAAATCTCGTATTGACCTCATCCCAATATTAGACGAGCTACAACGGCATTGCAGGTAGCTGAAATATTCCCCCGAGGCCTCTTCCTCGACCTTGATCATGCGATGCGCATGGCCATCCTCTCCTTCATACGAAACCCAGATCAAGCCTGAGACTTCTACGAACGAAATACATATATTCTCTCTGTGAACAGATCTAAAACTAACCTCGAGGACAAGTGCAATGAATACTCCAAGCTTCTTTCAGCACATCGCCACTTGGAAGATGTGCAATTACATCAGCGCTTGCAGCACCTCCAACAACAGGAAGATAACCTAGATGATGTGTCTAAGTTGGCAGCACTCGCTACAAACATCCAAGAACTGGAAGACCAACTACCGACTCATATGGAACACCGAGGGCAGGGTACACTCATCCATGGCAAACGACGGCGCCACCAAATGGAAGGATAAATGGGCATCAGATTCTTTGCAATGACAAAGGCCAGATCGGGTAGGACAAGCATTGAGGCCCAACCCGACCCCTGACAACAACAAGACCCCTTAGTTACATCGACGGCAGCAAGCACACAAATTCCTAGGGAAAATTTCCGGACCCTTTTCACATCCAGTGTAGACACCTCCCATAGCCTGAACGAGCACGAGAGATCAATGATTTCCTCCTCCCTATAACAAAACCCCTCACTGACCAGCAGCAAGAGGAACTTGGCAAACCCCTCTCTAAGGAGGAGGTTTGGACAACCCTCATGCTGATGGAGGAGGAAAAGACCCCGGGCATTGACAGACTTCCCAAGTGTTGGCAAGGCCTGTGGGATAGCCTATCACAAGACCTAATGGACTACTACCACTCAGTTTGGCTATCAGGGCAAATGGGTGTGCACCAAGGGGTGTTGACTTTCCTCTACAAGAAGGGCGAGAAAACCAATATTGGAAACTATCGATGCATTACACTCCTCACAATGGTCTACAAGATGGTCGCTAAGGCAATCGCAAATTGCACGATAGAAGTCATTGGAGACATTATAGACCCGGTCCAGAAAGGTTACATTAAAGGAAGAAACATCAAAGATCAGGGTTGCCGACCTGAACGTTCGAAGGGGGTCACCCCCCCACTTGGACAATCGGGGGTTCGGGCCCCGTCTGTCCGGCAGTTCAGGGCCTGCCAAACCTCGTCCCGGGGCCTATTTTCTTTCCCTTTTTTTTTTTTTTTTGTAGATAGACTACGCCACTCTAAGTGTACC